CACAAAAATCTCAGTGCAGGTTCTATTTTAGTGGAATGACCTTAATATGCAAATAACCAATGATCTCTGTCATTAATACCTGAGATTATACAGTGTTATTGTAAGTTTGATTCTAACATTCTTTGTTATGAATAGCAAAACAGCTAATGATCATGTTTATACATGGCTTCAATAGTTTACATCAAATTATGAAAATTAACATGTAGTATACATATCAAGTCCCAGTTCTCTCAATGAGATGTCCCTGCAGAGAATCACATTAGTTGTATTCATCATCTTGGACCAGATATTTGTTTTGATGAATACAACTACCATTATTCCCTGCAGGCATATCTCATGGCGGGAATTGGCCTTTGGCCAAAGCACTCATGTTACAATCTGCTTGCCTCTGGTGCTTCTTTTCTTTAAATTTCCTCAAAAAGTTTCCCAAGAAATTTCACTTTACAGACAGAATCAGTAGCCCAACTGGAGAATCCACTAACCCCAGGTTATTGGACATGACTTTCTTCATTTACTAGGGAGGCAGATGACGTACAACGGTTAGACAGTGTGCCAGACTCAAGTGACTGATTGCTAGTTTTGTCRGCATGGGGTCACAGTTGTCCTTTTGTCGATCCTTGTCCCCAAAGCCACCAATCCATCTTAGCTCATGGGGCCTGAGGCTGTACATGGGAAAACGCTGGTTCTGTAGGCACATGATTTAATTCGCCCAATTTTTGGACCAAGATTTTTGCTAAATTCAATGCTGGTTTCCTTCCCAAAAAAGTGATCTCCATCTCGACTCATTTGATTGCAGCACCAACAGATTTTAACAGACTTTATCGAAGGGAATTTAAAATTGTAATAACATCCTTGTTGGGAGGGGAATTTTACATAAGTTTCGTTTTAGAGGACTTCACTGAAAATTCTCCCTGTAAGCCAGTTTTAAACTCCTGAAGGTTTGTTGGTTTTATGATCATATGACTTAGTTTGAGATCAGCCAGATATTTGCAGCAAGTCAATGGTGTTGAGTTAGTGAAAATCTTACTTCAAGAGGCTACTCAATCAAATCATGTGTCTTCACAGCCACCTTGGCCCTGCTGGCTATGAAGGACACCTGGCTCTGGGAACCAGAATGCTTTTGAGTCTCACTGTGTTTCAGAAATAGAAAGAATGTACCATGTTTCTATCAACAAGTATAGAAATGCAAGTGAAAGTTTGGGAGAATGGGAAATATTGTGGGAACACGAGCTGACATTTGATTGTTTCCACAGCTTTGGCTCATGTTCCCATGCACTTTTTTGGGTTCTCCCAAACTTTCACAAGTGTTTCTATAACTCAACAGAAACACAGAAAACATGTTTTCTATTTCTTTTATAAAATACTACAACAGAAAAAAAGGAAACAACTTGCTTACTTTGATTGTCAAAATGTAAATTCTCTTTTCTTGGGCCATCATTATGTCAACAGCTAGTGCTAGTTCCGTGTTTCTATCAAGTTATAGAATCTGAAACATGCTTTTGAACCAATCAGTGCACGTGTTTGCTTTGGGCTATTTTCTAAAAATGGGTACCAGTGAAGTGAATGTAGGAACTAAGTACTATCCTGATTGGCCACTTAACCCTTTACCCACAATGCACTGACGACAGTTTTAAGCCAATATACTCCCAGATCTTATGAACTTCAAGGTGAAAATAAAATGTGACTTGTGAAATGCAGAGTCTGCAAATTTGTTAATTGCATTTGATTGGGATTATAATAGCCAATCAATAATCCTTCTATTTTTCTCCGTAGAATGGAAAAAGCCAGACAGGAAGCTAATGAAGCATTTAAGAATATTTCCCTTGGCCAGAAGCGAAAAGCTAGTGTCATAGAGAAGAAATCAGAAACACAACCTGAAACACAAAATGCAAAAAAGAGACTTACTAGACTAGAGAGATGTAAACTTGAAGCGCAGCAGGCTTTTGGAAATGCTCCTCTTAGCACGCTTATAGAAGGAAGGGTACAAGAGCAACAACAAAATGGCAAGAGACGAGGAAGACTTGGAGTTGAAGCCAACCTTTCAGGAATCAAGAACGTTGAGACTATCAAAAAGGACACAAAGAAAAGTTTCGGAAGGAGATCCATTGAAAAAAGTGTGAAAGAAAAGAGAAAATCCACCAGTAAGGGCAAACAAAACAGAAGGTCAGCCTCAAGAAGAAGAAGTTCAGCCATAATGCGGCGAAAAAGCTCTACCAAAGGAAGTCGACTAACAAAGGTTCAAGCTTCGCAGTTAGAGGCTCTGAAGAGTTTCGGAGGACAGAGTCTGGAAAATGTTTGGAAGTCCAAGGATAGTCCACCCGCATCTGAGGGCGTGGCAGTGACAGTTGACGACACCTGTCAATCAGTTGAGAAACCGGAAATCCTTGATGATTCGCTGAAGCCAGTTGGCATGGTAACATGTGATAGACATAGTACTTGCCAACAAGAAAGTGGTATTGATGTCGAGATA